GAGTAAATAAACAGATAGATAAATTGATTAATGAATAGCGAAGATTGTGAGAGGGGACCGAAATGGAAGCTAGGGAAAGGAAACAGAAAATAAGCGAGATAGTTTACGTTATTGATCTGGCAATCATAACAACTAGCAAGTCTCAAGACAGGCATCAAGCCCAGCTGATCCACGAAGAACATTACGGTACGTAAGTGAGTACGTGTTTATCAAGTTTCTTCGTAAAGCTGTCCACTGAGGGGGTTGTGGTCACCTCGGCTGGTAGAGCATTCCAAGTTGCACCGACTTTTAGTAAGAAAAAGTGTGCACGAACCTAGGTGTTCACCCGTTGACGCACAATTTTTTGAGGATTACTACAAAGAGTTTGGTGGTGATGCTTCGGTAAGATGCTCACGTTTGGATACCTAATATATCATACCTCATTATCAGATCACCTATAATTCTCCTGTGACTCAGGGAGAATAATCCCAAGTCCTGGAGTCTATCTTCGTAAGTTTTATTCTTCAACCGTGTCACTCGTCGCTCGTCTATGCAGCTGACATAAGAGGGTTACATCTCTTTTAAGGAGAGGGTTTGCGACGACATTTTGAAGGTGTGCGCGGGCATATGCCTTAAACAACGTCAAGAATAATTCTGGGGTGATAGCACAAAGTCATCTTCGTATTAGGAGAAGAGTTGCATTAGCTTTCGCTGTGTCTCTTACATAGTTCGAGGTGGTGTCTAGGCTTTCTGCTGTTATTAAACCGACGTCGCGCTCTGAGGAGACATTGGGGAGCGGACTTCCGTTCAGGGTGTAAGTCGTTTGTGTCACGAAGGGCAGAATGTATATACCGTGACACTTTGACTGGTTTAGTTTTAAACCGTTTTTCAGTTTCTATTCCTTAATAGATATAAGGTCCTTATGGAGCTCAGCTGAATCTAATTTTCTTCGAATAGAACTCCAGATTTTCGAATTGTCTGAAAAAATCAATGCCGCTAAGCTAACTGTCTAACGGGTCTCTTTTGAATATGTTATGGTTGACGACTGATATGCTTCAACTATTACGAGTTCACCTTAGTCTGTAAACGTGAGCAAAAACATTGATCCATTGACACGATACGCTACTTTAATCCGAGAGTACAAAGCCCCGATTAATGGTATCCAAAAGTCTTGATATGGTGTAGAAAGTGTATTCTACAAGCACCCAGAAAATATGATGTTTTTGTAAAGAAGAAGAAGAGGAGCATAAAACATTTAAAAGTATGTGAACTTGATAGTTAAAGACGACCTTAAATAATGACTAATAGGATTAGACTTGCGAAATAATTTCTCAACGTAGTTTCTGAGTCAAGATAGGGGTGGGTCAGTGAAGCCCATTTCCATAAGCTTTGCAGTTGGGAGTGCGTGGGGTACTGTGTCGAAGGTTTTTGTAAAGTCAAGAGATATTATGTACTCCGGTATTTTGCGGTCCCAGCAGGATGTCCAACTGCCCCGTGCTGTGAGACTGGATGCACACCACCTGCATTCCGGAACACGTGATGAACTTGATGGAAGACTTTGTTCTTATCCATGTACTCCCCCATCTGCTAGTTCACCAGCCGTTCCATTACTTTCAACGGCATTAGTATTAGTGAGACTGGTCTGCAATAGGCAGGGACATTTCTATCTCCCCTACTGTGAAGATTGTAGAGGATAGCTTGTTTACATTCAGCTGAGTGTTGATGTGACTCTATTGAATACCTAAACAGGTCGCATGTAGGTAAAATGAGCGTTTTCGCGCATTTTTCTAAAACTATGGCGTAGAATACATTTTGAAGGCTTTGTTTTGGGAAAATCCCTCCATGTACTTATTTGTAATATGTTCTTATTGACTCTTTCTGTGCTTCATTTTGGTACTCTGATCCTATTTTGTGATGTTAACATTTGTATTTTCTTATGGTTTCTATATTTTGTACCGTTACTGGAGTTTTTATGATTTCTACTGAACTGTATTGTGCTGTTTAAATTGATATATTCCCATATAAATTCATATACAAACCACATGGATCATGCAGAACCAAACCAATCATATCTGCATAAATTAGGGTTCATAAGGACTGTCGAGGATGTGAAAAACAAGTGCTAGGCTCATGTAGCTTCAAATCGTCACTTGCTGGTCGTCAAAATGAAGCTGAAACTCAAGAACCACTGGATGATGTGACGAACAGAGTCACAAACGTTTATTGCTGGCAAACTCAACGAATTCAAGATAGCTCTCATCAGTAGGTTATAGACTTTTCACTATCTAAACAATCGAGAGGAAACTATCATGGAAAACAACTAGAAAGAGATCAAAGAAATAATAATTTCTACATGACTTGACGTTCTAGGCCAAATGAATTACCATCACAAGGAATTGATCTCTGATCGCACGTTGAACAACATTCAAGAAATGAAGGACAAGAAGGCAGCAATCAATATCAGCTGAACAAGAGCAGGGAAAGCCAAGGCTCATTTTGAACGCACAGAAGCAAACAAAAAAGTGAGGAGGAACACCAGAGAAGACAAAAGTAAATACATGTGAGTTCTAGCAAAGACGACAGAAAACGCTGCAAGAGAAGGAATCTTGGGACAATTGGCTGAAACAAAAATGAAGATCGCCGGAAACTATTATTGTTGAATTACCTACAATTGAAGAGATCATTCTGTCCATCAGACAAATCCAGAGCAGCAGGGCAATAGGACCAGACAGCATTCCAGCTGAGGTACTGAAAGCGCGCGTAACAGTAACTGCAAAGATATTCCAAATTCTCTTCAACAAGATCTGGAATGAATAACAAATCTCAACAGACTGGAAAGAAGAACACCGGATCAACATACCAAAGAAAGGAGGTCACAGCAAGTGTGAGGACCACATGTCAATAAGTCTGTTATCAGTACCGGAGAAAGTCTTCAATAGAGTGCTGTTAAACCGAATGAAAGATTCGGTATGAGCTCAACTTCGCGATCAGCAGGCTGGATCACGTTTTGGAGTCTTCCTCAACATTATACTGTGCCTGAGTACACAATCAACATCATACGGAGTTCTTATGATGGATCAAATCGCAAAATCGAGCACGAAGGACAGCTGACAGACTCATTCGAGGTGAAGACCGGTGACATGAAAGATTGCTTGCTCTCATTCTTTCTCTTCCTGCTGGTGATCGACGGTCGAAGGTGTAAAGATGTAAACATGTGACGGGAAGCACGGAATACAGAGGATAGCTCGGATGCACTAGACGATCTGAGCTTCGCAGATGATCTAGCCTCCCTAACCCAAATGCAATCACAAATGCAGGAAAATAGAACCAGCTTAGCAGCAGTCTCTGCAGCAGCAGGTCTCAGCACACACAAGGGGAAAATCAAGATTCTCCGATACAACACAACCCACACCAACCAAATCACACTTGTCGGAGAAGATTTGGGGGAAGAGGAAACTCTTACATATCTTAGCAGCATCATTGGTGAGCACGGTGGATAGGATGCAGATGTAAAAGCAAAACAGGAGCAACATTTCTACAGTTGAAGAACATCCGAAACTCAAAACAACTATCAACCAACTCCAAAGTCACATTTTCAATATAAACGTCAAAACCTTTCTGTTGTGTGGAGCGGAAATTCGGAGAACAACGACAGTCATCATCCACAAGATAGAAGTGTTTATTACCAGTTGTCTACGCAAGATAATGAAGATCTGTTGGCCGGACACCATGATAAACAGTCTAATGTGAGAGAGAACAAACCAGATTCCAGAAGTGGAAGAAATCAGGAAGAAACGCTGGAAGCAGATAGGACACAGATTGATAAAGGCACCCATCTGCGTCTCCAGACAAGTCTTCACTTGGAATGAACAACAATTAGACGGAACTAGAGAGTGAGGCACAGGACAGATCCGGTTGGAGAACGCTGGTCAGAGGCCTTTGCTCTAATATGGGATGCAACTGGTTTTAGTATCTATGTAAGTAAGTGATTAAGACACTGTCCTGAGTTTTAAAAAAATATGAGGATATCACGAACATTCAAAGGTTGACTCTCTCGTTTGCAACACAGTTCAAACTGACAGGATCAAAAGCTATGCAATTGTGCAAGTCAGGTATGTGGAGCATGTAACGCAGATTTGAATGTTCGTGAGCGAGCTTGGCTTACTGATACGAGGAGATGTGTTATGCACACGGCTACCTGGTTCGGTTATAAGACAGAGAGCTTCCAAATGAGTAAGTCTACTAAATCCAAGAAGGTCAGCACCAGTGTCGAAGACTTACGGAACTACTTACTTTAAGGATTTATTAGCCACTATCGCTATAGTCTCAGAGGTTTTGAGTGTGTGAAAAAGACCCTTTTGATAATGCTGTGGTTCTGCACCAGTGTTCTCAAGTGATGATAGCAGTTACAATTTTGACCTGATTAGACCTGGTGACTTACTGGGCTCAAGGACGATAACAAATCGAAGAACAGCTTCATCCGTAACAAGCACTAATCCTGTAGTTGGTATATGATAATTATTTTATTTATTTTTGCCTCATATATCGTAATATTTTCTTATAAGACCTGAAAGCTAGCGAAAAAAAGCATTTTGTATTTTTCACAATCGTTCGGGTAATTTGAAGCAGTTATTTATGTATCACCTGTGGCACATCATTTAAGGGCCTCAAGGTCAGAGCAATGTTGGCGTTTGGCCTCTTTATTTTTGTCTCTTCTTTGTCAATAAATGAAGCTGTAAGTGTTCCTGGAGTGACGCCAAATGAATTTAGTTGAGGAGAGTCTATTGAAGTCAGGGTATGAAGTGGCTTTCGTTAAAATATATTTACCTTCAGGCCGTAAAATTGACTAGCTACTTGACCCAACTTCCTTTCGAGTATTATAAGCTCCCATTCTGTCGCCCAGAGCAATTGGTTGAATACCCACCAGAGAATATAGGTACAGTCACATTTTCTAGTCGGAACTGAATCTAGGTGAGATACTTCGCGGAGATCGTGTCGTCAACACCCCATATACGATAAGAATGGGTGAAAATACAGGTTGTTCTGAAGTCTGTTCACCTGTCAATGTAAACGCTGCTAATGCACTCCTTCTGAAGCATTTTATAGTGAACCAATATTCTGTTCATTTGTAAGATACTTCGCTTCCTAACTGGTTTTCTTGGTAAAGGTCTATCGACAATCTTCCTTGCGGAACTAAAGTGTCTGCTGATAACGGGAAAACATTTCGATATGAGCACGGTTATAGAATTGGATCGGTTGTAGATGGAGTGGCGTATATTAACAATCACTTGAAGTTCATTCTTCAATACCACCAAACAGATAAGTATGTCAACTTAGTTCGTTTAACATTTCCATAGTGGTCATTACCGTTTTGTCGGTTTTGAAATCGAACCTATGAGGTAAGCTTTCAGTAATATCATTTTTCAAAGTATTTCCGAAAATCGCTTGCACTTGGAGAATGGTGCGTGTAAAGATGTAGATTCGGAACTGTCAATTTCCGATTGGAAAAAGATTGACGGAAAGGAAACTGTGATACATTTCACTAGTGAAGTTGTTTGGGAACCATCGGATATAAAGTGGGCCTCGCGTTGGGATATTTATCTCAAGGCAGCAAGTGGTCAGTTACATTGGTTCTCAATTATCAACTCTGTTGTTATTATACTCTTTCTTACTGGTGAGTTTTGTGAATTATATATCAAAGGCTCTGATGTTAGCTATTTTGTGTTAGTAAAGGGCCTTATAGTAGTTTTCTTTCACATTTAGTCGTTGGAGTGTGATTGCTTTTTATGTTGTAATACAGCTGCTTACCGATCACGAATATTGTTTTCAGCAGGCTGTTTAGTAGAAAATCATACCTACACATTTCATCCAATACCTCAAAAATATTGTTTAGATTTGCGATTAAAGAAACTCAAATGCTCAATAAAAATTGATATGCATCCACGAAAATATCCAAGACTTCCCGTGACCGTGTTTAAAAACTTAACTTCCTGGTGTTTGTTTTTGGATTCCTCACTGCTATTGAGACCATTTGAAAAGCGTCTTATTATCCATTCTCTATCCAGGAGTCTGGACCGATGGGCAGAACACTTTAGGGATCAGTTCAACTGGTATTCAGCCACACTTCGGTTACCCACGATCTCCAGTCATCCTGAATGGCAAATCGACATAGGTCCCCTTAGTCTTTATGAACTTGAGGAAGCGTTAGGAAATCTGAAGTGAGGGCGAGCTGTAGGTCCTGATAGACTGACCCCTGAGATATTTAAGGATGGTGGTCCAGTTGTAGCAGCTAGGTTGACTGAGATCTTAGGTAGAATCTGGGAACTGGACATAATCCCATGCGAGTGGTCTCAACCACTGATTGTCCCAATCTGTAAGAAAGGACACAAGTCTTGTGGCAATCACAGGGGAATCAGTCTAACTAATATAGTATCTGAAATATTGGACTCAATAATACTTCGATGCTTAACAAAAGCTCATGAAGAGCAGACCAGAGAAAACCAGGCTGGTTTTCGACCTGGACGTGGATGTATAGACCACATTTTTACACTACGACAGGTCCTGGAACACAGACACACATTTAGACGTCCTACAATAGTTGTTTTCCTGGACCTTAAGGCGGCATTTGACTCAGTGGATCGTGAGTTTCTGTGGCAGTGTCTGTCATTGAAAGGTTACCAAAGAAGTACATTAACCTTATAGAAGCTCTCTACTCGAACACCACTGGTCGAGTGAGAGCTTATGGCGAATCGTCAACGGAATTCTTCACTTCAAGTGGTGTCTATCAGGGCTGTCCACTTTCTCCATTCTTGTCACCTATGGTGCAGGGGAGATATCAGTTTGCTAACCAAAGGACGAGTGTATTACGCAGCAGTTCACTCTGTCCTACTATACGGATGCGAAACAGCCGATAAGGGTAGAGGATATTCGTAGGTTGCTTGTCTTTGATCATAGGTGTCTCCGAAACATTGCTCGTGTATCCTGGAACGACCGAGTAAGCAATGCTATCGTTAGAAAACGAGTACTAGGTAGGGATGGCAGATCAATAGATCAAGTTGTGAAACTTCATCAGTTGAGGTGGTTGGGATATGTTCTACGAATGCGCAACCACCGACTGCCGCGACGAGCTATGTTTTGTGGTGTAGGAGTAGGTTGGAAGAAAGCTAGGGAAGGTCAGACCAAAACATGGTAGAAATCCATCAAGTCACTGACAAGTGGACTGAGTCATGTTGGTAGATGTAGGCTATCTGGTTGGGGTCCGCGAGACGAAAGTCACCAACGATTAGAGACCTTGAACGACATGGCTCAGAATCGTTTGCAATGGCGCAGGTGCATCCACTCTTTGTGTGCTTTTTGATTCTAACCTTCTGAATTCTTCATAATTTCTACCTTACTCCTTCTGAATTTATCTTACTGAATTATACTTCTCGAATCATATCTTCACTCCCTAATCTTCTCCATTGCTGCTAATAATTCTATTATCGTCATCACTCTTGGATTTGAACTGACAGTTACGTCTCTGTGCTGATGTGGTATGGTCACCTGAACTGATGTACTTATGTACGAAGTTCTGCGTTGTATCTGCCTGTCTGTTGTCAAAAATAAAACTTATTGCATGTACCTTATCATTAAGAAGTTGGATTGTTGAATATACTTGTTAATAGCTGATTATCCTTGTTCCATACAGAGTAGTCGCAAATGAAAAGTAACGTTAAATTTACCACTGATGTACGAAGTTGCTATAAAATCTAATATTCATACGTGGAAATCTTTTTATAGGTTGTAAATCAACTAGAAAATTATTTGGACATTTATTATCTGGTGAAATAAGCAACTATGGTTGTGTTCGATTAGAAGTTTCGTAGTTTCTTCTATAGAATGTCAGTATGCCTAACTTTGTCGTAGATTCAATTTTATTATCATAGTCACTATTAGCTTATTTATTTTTCACTATTTATCTCATCTTCAGTGCAATTACATTAATCCTATCACATTTGATGCTTGGATGTCCCAAGGCAATTGCGCATTGAGTTTATTTTATGGGCTTTAATTGCGCCATTAAGTTCAGTAGGAAAAATCTCACTTCTATTAATCAGTCCATTTGTATACTTTGGTTGGACAAATATTCTAAATATCTTTATATGTATCTGTAGCTGTTTGAATTATCAACGAACATAAACTGTAAATGTGGTCAGAACAAAGAGAAATAAGAGCTTCACTAAAAAGGTCTTTTTTCAGTCAGTCGGTTGTCAGCAATGTAGAATCTGACACGCATTGGCTTCTATGATGAACTAAATTGTCTTTTGGAGTAACCGGAGTCAGAAAAGAAAAGGATCTGTAGTGCACTGGTTTTGAAAGGTAATTAGGGGTTGTAGTGCTACTTTAGAACAATGAGATGATTAATACCAAAATAGTCGTACCAGTAGCGGTAGAAAAAGGCAAGGGTAGATAAAGTGAATCGAGAAAGGAGAATGAACAAACAACTGGATAAATTAGGGGGATAAAAGACTTAAAATAGTTTCGAAACTCTAGATATGAAGGAAAACGAAAATTGAATGCATCTGAGTTGTGGCGAATGAGTCGGGACAATGTTATCAAACTTGTCAAACCACCGTTTCCGATTATCACGCGGACTCCGACCAGTTGATAGTTAGACTTAATGAACGCTACATGAGGTTAACAACTTTGGGAATAGTCCGCCATAAGCTCTCACTCCGACATATATGTTCGCGTAAAGTACCTTTACAAGATTCTTGTATATTTTCAATACAGTGTTTGGTAACAAACCTCAGTCTAGGGAGTCAAATACTGTCTTCATGCTAGGAAATGCTACTATTGTCGAACATCACTAAGTATACTTATGTTTTAAAGGCTGACAAGGTAAATGTTTGATCAATACATTCACATCCAGGTCTTAAATCAATCCGAGTTCGAGATTCATGTGCTTTATTTTGCACTGAGCCTGTAAAACCTTAATTTATGGTACTCTTATAGGGATTAAATCGAAATCTCAAACATAAGGTTGAATGCTAATGTGATTGAATCGAAGTGCAATGATAATTTAGAATGATCAATATCAAATAGGACCATTTTTTGCTTTTAAAACAATGAAGGTTTATTCTCCTTTGATACTTTAAACAATTGTTGATCCACGAAATTTTAAGCCTGACAGTACGTCCGTACAGAGCAGTCGCAAAATAAAAGTGTTCCTAGTCCTAGTCCTAGTCATAATTTGCTTTTAAAATCAGGGTTGCTTATTCTATTGTTCACCTCTGTGTTTATTGTTCTCTGGCAAGCGACCGTTATTATTATCACGACTATCAATGTGTGTAGTTGTTTTAATCGGGTCACCGAGTTTTCTAGGCTGATCCGAATTCCAGTCATTTTTATTTTATTCTCATTATCCAACTCTATGCCTTTTATTACTTTTCTCATTCTAGCTGTCATATTCACGATACTTATTCGAACTTTGAGGAAAGATATTGCCAAATATAATCGCAATGATGATGTAGTAAGTAATTTTTCACACTCTCTTAAAATGCATTCCATTAAAACTGTTTGAGCTAACACCCATCTCTTTCGCTTACTTTATAGGAGGACATTCTAGAAGAGTCAGGATGGAAATTGGTACATGGAGATGTATTTCGACCACCACGACATACTCGATTATTTACAGCATTGTTTGGATCTGGCGTTCAGTTGTTCTTTATGGTTTTCATCGTAATATGTAAGTGGCACTGTAATTCAATAAGTTTCCAATTGCATGCTTTTTACTGCTAGTGACTATTCACAATTTACTCAGTTGCCGAATCCGAAATTTTGACTGTTTTGTACGATCAAGCACAACATTGTATAGATCGATAAGTTTTCCGTCGGTTCCTAGAATTCAAGTGAAGTTCTTATTGAGAAAGTTACAAAATAGTGGTCGCAAAATAGCGCAAATTGGTTGAAGTTAGATGTGTAAACCATCATGTGTTGGCTCTGTGATCTCAAGGTTAGGCACTCGCTGCGAGATCCGGAGGTCCTGGGCTATGTCCGCGGTGGGGGGTCCTGGACATACACTACGCAGGTGCTCCAACTTAGGATGAAACAGTTCTTCAATGCTTTTTGGTTTTGAATGGCTGTTTGATTAAGATCATTTCGAGATGTTAATCGCGAAATTACTCAAATCCCATAAAAAATATATTAGGTTACGATGTAAGGATAATTAGGAATATGTTTTTTAATTCTGAGAACCATAGATTTAGTAAGTACATTTGTACATTCTCTGACATAGTGCCATGATATGAAGTACATCTGTACAGATGGGATTACGTCCGGTTCCCAGATTCTACCTAAGATTTCAGTCAATCTAACTGTTAAAACTGGACCACCATCCTTACAAATCTCAGGGGATAATCTATTAGATTCTGTCGCTCTTCCTCGCCTAAGATTACTTGTAACCTTTTCAACTTCATCAAGAGTCGGATCACTTATATCAACATGCTATTCATGTTGACTGGAGATTGTGGGTGACCGAAGTGTAGCTGCAATGATATTTTCTAACACTAATTAATTATTGGTTATTACTTCCTATTACACGATCTATATTCTCTTTGTTTATATTTTTTTTTCGTTTTTCATTAACTTTCTGTTTTAATAATTTAATATGTGACATGTTGATTAATGCACATTTATTTCACATCCAAGTGTACTTGTGGTTGACTTTATTAGTAAATCTTTGCCCATTTTTAACTATTTTTTCTTGGTCATTATTGATACTTTCCCGTCCATTTATTGTTTGTTCATTCGCATCCCATAATGACATGTGATAATAGCCAAAAAAATTTATTTGCCAAATAAATAATTCTTTAGAATTCCCTAGTAAAAGGTTACGCTAGAAGTAAGTTAGGAGTAACTGAACCAAATAGTGGCATCAGTCCTTAACGTCATTGCCTGTTAAACTGAACTGTAGCCCAGGTATAGATGCCGTCTACCTAGTTAGGTTTCGCGGGATACCTTCTATCAGTGGTTAGAAATGTTAAATGTCATGGCTCAGATCTAGTTTCAGTGGCCCAGATACATTAATCAACTTTCTTCTTTTTCTTATAGACCTTAAATCCCACTAGTTTTTCATATAGGCCTTATTTTTATTCCTTCTTAAATCATAGACTCAATGTTTAACTCATTATCTCTTTCGTTTCTATTACAATTATATTTGACATATTTTTTTTTATTTATTATGTTAATTTCATCCCTTTTTGTATTGATTTGGTTTGGTTAGGAAATCATGGGATAATACACATCTGTCTTTAAGCTCTATGTTGATTAAAACTAATTGAATGCCAAACACAGCCACATTTATTTACTAGATTACTATCCTGACTGTCATTATAACTTCGATATATTTTTTTGAAATTGTACACCTTCAATGGATTCGTATCGTAGTTTGTTAATGATTGCTAATCCAATGATTATTTATCCTAATTGGGTATGTAATTTAAAATGATGAAAAATGATCTGTGATTATGCAGCAACATTATGGAATTGTTTGTCATCTTGTATATTGATTCCAATAAAAATAGTTATATTTCTTAAGATTACTTACTTACTTACTTACTTACGCCTGTTACCCCCAATGGAGCATAGGCCGCTCACCAGTTTTCTCCAACCAACTCTGTCCTGGGCTTCCTTCTCCAGTTCTGTCCAATGTTTGTTCATTCCTCTCATATCTTTCTCTATTTCTCGGCGTAGTGTGTTCCTTGGCCTTCCTCTTTTCCTTTTGCCTTGAGGGTTCCATGTGAGGGCTTGTCTAGTGACGCAGTTAGGTGCTTTTCGTAGTGTGTGTTCTATCCACTTCCACCGCTTCTTCCTGATTTCCTCTTCCACTGGAATCTGACTTGTTCTCTCCCACAGTTCGTTGTTGCTGATGGTGTCTGGCCAACGAATACGAAGTATTTTGCGTAGACAACTGTTAATAAATACTTGTATCTTGTGGATGATGGCTTTGGTAGTTCTCCAAGTTTCCGCTCCATACAGTAGAACTGTTTTGACATTTGTATTGAAAATCCTGATTTTGGTTTTGTTTGAAAGTTGTTTGGAGTTCCAGATATTTTTCAACTGTAGAAATGCAGCCCTTGCTTTGCCAATCCGTGCCCTCACATCTGCATCGGATCCACCTTGATTGTCGATGATGCTGCCCAGATATGTAAAGGTGTTAACGTCCTCCAAGGCATTTCTTAAGATTACAAAACATAAAAAATTAAACTATCTATCTTTAAAATAAATAATTAATTAATGTCATTCCATCTAAGCTACAAAAATCGTTGGTTTCCAAGTAGTGGGATAACTCAAATAATATTTTCATGGTAACAAAAAGATATATTGTCATGACTGATATATATATACCTTGATTTTTTTAATGAATTTTTTGTGTTATATATATAAAATTTATTTAAATTATTTATACAAATCTTTACTTAGAGTGCATGAAATGTACTAAATTCACTTCATTCACAATATTATTCATTATTCTTAACTTTTGTAAAATTCTTCTGTTACATTGTGTTATTATAATTCTCTCTCTTATTACAACCCATCTATTCCTTATGGTTAGTATTTTTCGGACACCAATTCACTCGAGACATTCTCCCAAAATCAGAACACAGTTGAACAGGAAAAAGAGATTATATTCCAATAACAAGGTTAGATGAAAGACTAGAAGCTTTTAAAACGTTAGTATATTTATAGTTACTTACATGAGAAGATTCTTGAATGTTCCCTCCGTATCTCGGTTAGCGCTGATTGAATACAAAAGAGCCAATCATTTTGCAACAATACAATCATGCTTTAATCCAATCTTAATATCCCACTAGCACATTATTATCTATTATATTGTATACTCGTCCAACCTACAGAGGAAGTTGCTGTAACAGTAGTTATATACTAATGATAACAATCCTGTCAGTATTAGTTATCATCTTTAACAATGTCGCTTAACTATTAAAATTTTGTTTATTTATCTGTTTCGACAGTGTTGATGACAAGATCCATCAGTAGAAACTTTGAATGAATTAATGTATTTCAAACTGATAATTAAGTTGGCCTTGATTATGATGAAGAATTACTAATGATTAACGCTCAACCATAGTCGTTAGTAAATTTAAAAAACTGTAAAAATACAGTTCAGTTTAGTTAATAATAAAATTGGTAACATATATTCAGAACAGTTTGATTGATGCACTGTTATATTATATACTAAACCTCTTGTTATTTTGTCTGTGTTGATGTGTATATTTGAATCGAAATTTCCTGTCTAGATTTTTTCTCACTTGTGAGAGACAATTATGTAGTAAAAAAGTTGAGCTATTTATTTAAAAAGAATAAGCATCACTGACATTGGTATTATTATCAACTGTTATATTTCATAGTGTTACGATCAAAAAAATACTGACGTTTTGAAGATGTTATACTGCTTAACATCAATAATTTATTAAGGAATTCATCTCTTCCTCGATAATAAGAATAATAATAATAATTTATTCAAAATATTCTAGTAATTATTTGTACTAAAGGACGAGTGTACTGCGCAGTGGTTCGCTCCGTCTTACTTTATGGCTGTGAAACATGGCCAATGAGAGTAGAAGATACTCGTCGGTTATTGGTTTCCGATCATAGGTGCCTTCGAAGCATTGCTCGTATATCGTGGGACACCCGAGTGAGCAATGCTGTTATTAGGAAACGGGTACTAGGTAAGAATGGCAGATCAATAGATGAAGTGGTGAAACTTCATCAGTTGAGGTGGTTGGGACATGTGTTGCGTATGCCTAACCACCGACTGCCTCGTCGAGCTTTGTTTTGTAGTGTAGGAATAGGTTGGAAGAAAGCTAGGGGCGGCCAGACCAAAACATGGCAGAAATCCATGAAGTCATTGACTAGTGGACTTAGCCATGTCGGTAATTGTCGACTACCTGGTTGGGGTCCGCGAGACGATAATAATCGATGGTTAGAGACCTTGAATGACATGGCTCAAAATCGTTCGCAATGGCGCCAGTGCATTTATTCTTTGTGTTCTCTGAAATCCTAATCTTCTGGATTCTTCAACACCTCTAGTTTTTACTTTCTAAACTTATCTCATTGAATCATACTTCTTGAATAATATCTTCTAATCTTAACTTCTCCGATTACTTCTAATACCTTCACTACCTCTTCTACTATTGGATTTGAATTGACAATTATATCTCTGTGCTGATGTGGTATGGCGACATAAACTGATGTACTTACGTACGAAGTTCTACGTTGCAACTGACTGAATTATTTGTAGAAATGTGATGTTGATTCCATGAGATGTAATATGTGTTTAGTATTTTTGTCTACTGAAATGCATGATCAATTGTGTGACTCACTCTTACTTTCAATCAGTCAGTCAGCTACAACATAGAACTTCGTACGTATGTACCTACATCAGTTTAAGTTACCATACCACCACATTAATACAGAGATGAAATTGTCAATTCAAATAATAGTAGAGGTTGTAGCAATATTAGCGATGGTGGAGAAGATGAGGATTCGAATAATTCATTCAAGAAGTATAATTCAGTGAAATAAATTAAAAAAGAGGAAACTAAAGGTGATAAGTTATTCATCAGATTAGAATTTGAGAGAACACAAAGAGTGGATTCACCTGCATTATTGCAAATGATTTTTAGCCATGTCATTCAAGGTCTCTAACCATCGGTTACAATCATCTTGCGGACCCCAACCAAATGATATGATTGTTTTGAAATATACCTCTTAATCTAAATTTTTTTTTCTAGCGATATTCTTGTATCTGACTAGCACTTTTATTGTAAAATCCACTAATCTTACCACTTTTTTGTTTTATTTTATAATAAAAACAATCGATTTTAGTTTTTGCTATGCTCGGCACATTGTCACCAGCTTCTCGTGGTGCACTTATGAACGCAGCCATATTTACATACGTGTTTATGGGACTTTTTGCTGGGTATTTTGCTGGAAGACTCTATAAGACCTTACGTGGACCATTTTGGAAGTCGACTGCAGTAGCTGTAAGTTCCATCGAATTCGAAATCCACATATATATTGATGTAGATGCGATCGATTTAGTTCTTTGTAGTATCAGATACTTAACAAATACTTCTTTTAGTCCCACAAAAACTCCAAATAGTTCCGTCATATATATATATATATATACTATACGTGTGTGTAAAAAATTATTGAATACTTTTGAAATATATGAGTTTAATGACTACCAACCGTGCTTACTTCATTTGCACTGAAATCCCATTACCGTTTTATCTATTGAAATATATTTGATGTTTCCTTAAATAGGTAAGATGTTGATTTATTCATTGGATTTACTGTTGTTCATCATCAAATTATATTAAAATGCATTTTAGTAACACGATATCATTTCACATCTAACTGAAAATATCGTAACAGTGCTCACTAGTGACTAGCTTCGTGAGGAAATTCTCGGAGTTCTAGTGAGAAAACGTGACCAATGAAGTTCAACCCTGTCGGGTGTGGGCAGTAGCTTCCAAAGACAAATGGGTGAATTCGCTCAAAATCCCTAGATCAATCAGAGTTAGACATTAACACCGTTGGATGCCGGCCCAGTGGTTCAGAGGTTAGGTGTTCGCGCACAATACCGAAGGTCCTGGGTTCGAATCCTGTGAGGTGCAGGAGTCGTGGATGCGCACTGTTGATGAGTCCCATACCAGGACGAAACGGGCGTCCAGTGCTTCCGGGTTTCTAACGGTCGTCTAACAATGATTGATTGATGATTTCAAATGTGTAAAAATACAAATCTCCAAAACTCTAACTGCAAATATCACATTTTATAATTAATCATTTTCATTTTGACATAATGAGATTGACATGATGCAATTTAATTATATGATTACGATTTACACTTGATAGAATAAATAATTAAAACCATATCATGTATATAACTAGATTAGTTTGACTCAGTTACATATTGACTGGCAGAACAGTTAAGAGGTCATTTTTCGTACTGCCCCAGATTATTTGTTACAATTGAATAAAATATTGTTAAACCAATACTTCTGTACAACACTGATACTTTCAGATGCAAAAGACTTGTGTCAGAATTTCTACACTTGACAATTGCGACTTCAAACAGTGACTCAGATTTCAGTCATATCCATTTAATGGTTTGAAGTTCATGGAATCTATCAACAAAATTAGCTCCATTTTCAGTAACGTGTTTCGTATTTGTCACGAATTCTTAAACACACATTGAATGCTATGCTGAGAACGTTTTTTTATGAATTAATACTATAACGGTTTGTACTCGTTAGTTTGTTACTCTCTACACCAGCCTAGGAAGTCTATTACCTGAAGAAAAAATGGTTTATCGGAAGTTTCATGAAGTTGTTCATATACCATATTCTAATTTAAAATTTTGAGGTTCATACTTTATACATTGATTGTAAAAGTTTTAAAAATATAAGATTTAACATAAAATTCTTAATTAGCAAGTACTTTTAAAAAATTAGTAGTAATTTTCTAATCTTGTTAGTTTGTAACTTGTAAGTTATTGTACAAAGTACGTTTGGATAATATAATGTTTCAGAGGAAATAATTGTTTTAAATTTATAGAAAGTATATATTGACAAGCAACCTACTCGATCGAGAGGAAACTACTATGGAGAACAACTTGAAAAGCATCAAGAAAGTCATCACTTCAACATGTTATGAGTTTCCGAGCCATAAGAAGTCTTTTTATGATCACACTCTCGATAAGATTCAAGAAAGGAATAAAAAGAAGTTAACAATCAACACCAGCCGAACAAGAGCAGAAAAAGCCAAGGCACAAGTCGAATATACAGAAGCAAACAAACGAGTAAAGAGGTGCATCAGAGCCGACAAACGTAAGTGTGTGGAAGATCTAGCAGTGACGACGGAAAAGGCTGCAAGAGAAGGAAACTTGAAGCAATTGTATGAAACAACAAAGTAGCTCACTGGAAATTATCGTAAACCAGAACGACTGGTGATAGCAAGGAAGGGAAAGTAATCACCGGCATTGTAGAATAGCGAGACAGGTGGGTAGAGCACTTTAAGAAACTCTTGAATCAACCAGCGCCACTGAACTCACCCAACATCACCCAGCATCCACGGACCTCCCAATTGATGCTGAATTACCGACAATTGAAGAGATCAGTATGGCCATCAGAAAAATCCAGAGCAGCAAGGTAGTAGGACCAGGCAACATTCCATCTGAGGCACTGAAAGCATGCGTAACAGTAACTGTAAAGATACTCCACATTCTCTTCAACAAGATTTGGAATGAAGAACAAATCCCAACAGACTGGAAAGAAGAACATCTGACCAAGATACCAAGGAAAGGAGACCACAGCAAGTGTGAGAACCACAGGGGCATAAGTCTGTTATCAGTACCGGAGAAAGTCTTCAATAGAGTGTTGTTAAACCGAATGAAAGATTCGGTATGCACCCAACTTCGCGATTAGCAGGCCAGATCACAACACTGGGTGATTATGGAACAATAAATTGAATGGGACTCACCCTTGTACACCAACCCCCTTGACTATGGGAAAGCATTTGGTAGCATGTACAGGATCATGTTTCGGAGTCTTCTGCATACATACCTTGGTAGCATCATTGATGAGCGCGGTGGATACAATGCGGATGTGAAGGCACGGATTGGCAAAGCAAAAACAACATTTCTACAGTTGAAGAAAGTTACTTTTCAATATAAACGTCAAAACCGTTCTATTGTATGGAGCTGAAATTTGGAGAACCACGAAAGTCATCATCCACAAAATAGAAGTGTTTATTACCAGTTGTCTACTCAAGATATTGAAGACCCATTGACCAGACACCATGAGAAGCAGTCTAATGTGAGAGAGAACAAATCAGATTCCAGAAGAGGAAGAAATCAGGAAGAAGCGCTGGAAGTAATTAGGACACAGATTGATGAAGGCACCCATCTGCGTCTCCAGAGAAGTCTTCACTTGGAATCTTCAAGGCCGAAGAAAAAGATGGAAACTGAAGGACACATTACTCTGAGAATTGGAGACAGACCTGAACAGAATGAAAAACAGTTTGACGGAACTAAGAAGGGAGGCACAGGACAGATTTAGTAGGAGAACGATTGTCGGCGGCCTATGCTCCAGTGTGGGGTGTAACCGGCCTTAGTAAATAAATGCGTCAACAAGACTAACTTACTTAGTTGAGTAGGCTTCAGAGATTATTGTCAAAGATTGACACTAGCTAAGAAACCATCAGCAATCAAGGATTACTGAACAGTTGTTGCTCCCTAGTTTGGGACTAATCGGCAGTACACTTACACAACAGTGCCCACAATAATAGTTGATTTCGTGGTCGATTGAGGCCAGAATTAAGTTTTATGATTTACGTACTTAGCTGTTAGGTTATAGTTTCAAACTGTTCTCCCTACCCGTCTCACTTCTTGTATCAAGCTTCACAATACTACGCAATTAATTATTCGACTTTATTTTTCTACCGAAATACTGTACCAAATAAATGATAATTTAATTCTTAATCGCTAACATAACTAGTTATTTGCATATACTGTTCTTTGATTCATTATTACATAGTTCACTAATAATATTTGTTCTGATTATTCCTAATTACTAAATGTTTGTTCATTATTTTACTAAAATTCTCTTTAGACTGGATTACTTTTTCCAGGCATTGTGCTTGTATTCGGACTAGTAATAAACACTTTTATGTGGTACAAAGGATCGTCTGCTGCTATTCCATTTACTACACTGCTTGCACTGTTATCATTATGGTTAGGAATTTCATTACCTTTAATTTATATTGGATTTTTCTTTGGTTATCGAAAACGTGGATTTGAACAACCTATTCGCACTAATCAAATTCCTAGGGCAGTTCCAGAACAGAGAGTTTGCCAAAATTTGTTACTAGCGTAAGTTTTCTCATTTTATTTATCATTTGAAAGTGACATGCTGAAATATAATACCAGTTAATTTTCTGACATTTAATGAAATTCCAGTGTCTTAGATATTTTTGTTTGCAGTCTTAAACCAAACAGTTCACCTTTATTATTTATCTTCTTTTACATTCCTTCCTACTACTGGTTTAACTCCTTCGTTATTCATTTATTTCGTTATGCTGATTTGGTGTCAAAACTTCGATCAATACATGTTTGTGACAGTTTTACTTTGATCACGACTAATTGATTGGCTTATGTTTTATCTTATTTGTACCTATTAAATCCAAAGGCCTCACTTGTTTCTTTCATTTCCCCGCTTTTATGGATATGATTATTTTTGTTCCTTTTCTTTTGGTCTTCTGTTGTTGTTATCAAACTATGCTTGTATGTGTTAGATTCTAATTTCTTGAACATATTGTTTTAGGTCACACTATACCACGAAGGTTTACTGGAGAACTGTAAGAATAAAAGTAGCTCCTGAAGGTTTGAGGATGAAGCTATACTGCTGACTTTGCTTAGATGTGATGTTAGCAAGGTGTTTACCCCAGACAACCAGCATCTGCAAAGATGCCATCTCAAACTGTACAGAAAGGGTTTAGATAAGGTGAGGACTAAAACTTCACACCTCACCTTTCTCTACGGATACTCATTATCATTTCTCAGGTCTTAAAAGTGCGGAACTACTTACGAAAAGACTATAATAAACTCTTAAGTTTTGCGAGCTTTTATGTAAATAAATATAAAATCAGACGGATCACACGAGAGATGAATCCGACCTCCAACATCAGTTGTAACACGTGTAATCAGCAGTGACTGAAGGGTGGAGAAGACCATGCAACAAATCACAAAAGCCATGCCGTGACGGTTGGCGAAGGGTTAAACCGGGTGCTACCTTGACTACAATCATCGAGGGTTCGTCATCGTCTTCGTCGCGTTTTGCCGTAAACACCTCCATCACCAGTTGTTGGTTACGTAATACAAACGTAGCGGAGGGGATCGGATGAAGGCATTTTCTTAGGGGCCTCGCCAGGGCAGGTGGAATTTTCTGCAGGACCCTAACAATGTAATGGGGTTCTGTAGCCAGACGCGATCCCTAACTTTATACACCACTCCTTGCACCTGACGATCGCATATGTCTTTTTGGTGTCCGCTAGCCTTGCGCAAGTTGTTTTTGACCAGGTGGTGTGCGTCAGCCAGGCGGTTACGCAAGATACGTATCTACGGTACATGTTTTTTCTCTTGATAAGTCGACTGTACCTCCACCAGTAGGCGTGATTCGTGCCCGAACAGCAAAATAACAGGTGAGAATCCAGTGGACCTATGTATCGATGTACGACAGCTCAAAGATATTAGGGTAGTACATCATCCCACAACTCAAGCGACGATCTGCTGACGAACAACTGTAAGGTATCTTTCTATCAGACTGTTGCCTTCTGGACGATACGCAGTAGTGTGTATCTTCCTGATAGCCGGCATATTTGAGCTATGAGATGACTTTCAAAGGCTGGACCTTGGTCGGAGTGAAGTGAAAATGGAGCACTGTAACGGGAAACCCAATGATCAATTAAAGCTCGGGAAACCGTGAGGGCGTCTTGCTGTGGCATGGGTACTGCTTCGCACCATTAGTAAAATAATCCACCACAACTAGTATGTAGCGGTTTTATTTATCGTTGTCAGTGGTCCCATGCCCCCTCGTTAGTGTGGTCCTGTTGTCATCATCGGAATCAACGGTGCACTGGCTGTGTGCTGAAGCGATTTTATACGGCAACACTTGCCAAATTCCAGTACATCTTCATGCATGTCTGGCCACCGAAACCTCTGGCGAACGGTGTATTCAGTCCTTCGTTCTTTTCCATGACCAAGTTCGCGATGCATCTGCTCCACAATACATTAGACTTTTACCTGCGTTACTAACGACAAGGGTTGTCTTGAATCATTAATTAGGAATAACGTGTTACCACATAATTTTAGGTTGCTTTATTTGGTGCAAATATAACGAGGTGTTGTGGAATGATTTTTCAGCTCCTTGATGGATGGCTGTTTGTTTCCGTATAACGGTCTTCGGTAAATAATCTGCGGGTCCGGACCTGCTGCTTGCAGAAAAGGCCAATCGGTGTCCAGGGTTGTACTAAGAATTGCATTAATGGTATCTGGGGGCTGAGGTATGCGGAACAGAGCATCCGCGTTTATATGTCAGCTTCCCGGTCGATACTTGCATGTGAAATTAAACTCTTGTAATCGTTCTTGCCAGCGTGCTGCTTGTCCTTCTGGTTCACGGAAAGAACGAAGCCACTGGAGTGCACGGTGGTCCGTGCGCATACGAACTACAAGGTAGGCGGAAAACAGCATTTTTAGTACCAAACGGTCTACATGAATTTCAAGTGATGCCTTCTGGTTTAACAAATCTCTGACTACCTTTCAAAGACTGATGCAAACAGTTTTAAAAGATGTAGTACCCCAAAAATGCTTGATCTGTCTTGATGACATAATTGTGTACGATAACACATCGGCACAACACAGTCGTAATCTGAAAGCGGTTCTCCAGCGCCTTAGACGACACAACTTAACAGTAAAACCGTCACGGCCTTACTCTTGTGATTTGTTGCTTGGTCCTCGTTCTTTAGTGACTGCTGATTACACGTGTTACAACTGGTTATTTTGTATACCGTCGATATATATATCCTTAATCCTGTTCAACGTATGTTGGTTATTCCAATGTACTCTTTTAATTTATGTGTCAGCATATCTATTTATTGTACGGAGTATAAAGTTATATAAACTGAGTCACAACGTCATTCTATGACTTAAATATTTATCTTTCTTCTTTATGGTTGTCAGCTAATATGCATGCCTGAAATAGATGTATCATTAAAAAATTTCGTATTCGACTTTAATTAAATATCGCGTTTATCAATGTGGAAAGCCTAAAAATACAAATACAAAGATATATTCAGATATCTAAATTTCATTGCAGTTTAATAACTCTATCATAAGGCTATGCGTAACCGGTTTCAAGAGGCTATAAATTTAGCTTCTGCTATCACGCGCTCCCTGTTTCCTTTTCGAATCGCTCGATATTAGGTTTTCTACCATGGTTTTGTACAACTGGAAGTAACAACTTCCCACAGATCTTCAAATAGCTGTCGCAATTATCTCAGCCTAGTTGGATTTGTTTTACTTGATTTGACTTGGTGGATAATCAATTTTCATTCACCTGTAAAGTAATTTCTACAGAACTTTATTTAGAAACTTATGTTAGTTGAATTTCTTCAACATGATAATTGTTTATCCAGAAAAAAACACATATGACTCAATTAATTAAGTGCACAACTCTACACTCATACATACATACATACACATACTCATACATATACGCACACAATTTTGAATCTTTTTTTTAACTTCATCACTTCATGTCACAAATTACATACATCCTTTGTACACACAAACAACACTTTAAGGTCTCTCACATATGAATAATCACTTTGACCAAAAAAAAAAACGATATGACGTTAATATGTTCAAACCTATTACAATTTTGATTGTACTAAGAATATTTTGTTTTGTTTCATTTTCACTATTTAAATTCATGTTTATTGATTTCGGTTATTTGTTTATTCACGCTGAAGAACTGATATACATTAAGGCACAAAACGTCTGAAATATAAATTTCTACTCATTGGAAAATCACCAACAATTTATTTCATAAATATAATAACTTATTAAATTAAATAAATACATTTCTTTGGTATAAATAAGATTTTGATGTCAGTCTCTCAAATGTTATAGATTTATGTATGTAAATGTTAATGAATACCTTATCATATACTTTACTAAACATTTCTCCTATTTTTTTGAAAGAGTGGTTGTCAATATGTACAATGTGAATGACTTCATGTGATGACAAGTACTACTATAAATACGTGATTCATAATTTATGCTGATATTAGGCGTCAAGTGTTAAGTAGAAATGATCAAACATTTGAAGTTATTATTTATCATAGGCGTACGTAGTGGTACTTTTCAAGAAAACCCAACCCACAAAGTTTCGATGTCACTTGTTTAAGAAAATTTAAATAATCACCTTAAGCAAAATTAGTATCCTTTCAGCAAGTCGTTAAACTGCGCTTCCTTCATCAACATAAATCTATATGATTTATAAAAACGTTCATACACAAAAAAGTCATATTTATATTTTCTCCTAAATGAAATTAAAAACCTACAAATGTCTTTTTATTTGCAGTACACTTTACTCTGGAGCTCTACCATTTGGTGCAGTTTTTATTGAAGTTTTCTTTATATACAACGTAAGTTCATTATCATTAACTTCTTTTTATATGCAAAAATGTTAATCTGCTTTATCTACAGATTTTAAGCTTTACTTATTCTGATTTTGATGGCCCTCTACATGAGAAAGACTATGTAGTCATTCTGGATGCTTTCACTAAGTGCTCAGATGTTTACTCTGTGCCTGTCATGAAAGCAGCAGCAACAACCAGGCAGTTATCGAACTTGTTTAGTCGGTTTTGAAGTTCGGACAATCTTAGTGACAGGTAATGTCACGAAATTCATATCATCAGCATTCAAACAGTTTTGTGACGGAAATGGAATTACCCACCTGTGATCACCATCATACCATCCACAGTCCAATAGACAAGCTAAAAGATTTGTAGATGAAGGGGGGGGGGAGTGGAGAAATATCGATGCAGGTAGTACCTGCATTTTTTAACATCTCATCGAGCTATTCCCAATCCTTCCGCACCAAAGGCAATGTCCTCGAAAGAGTACATGTTCGAGAGAAAAATTCGAGCTATGTTCGACAACATGCTACCACGTAGACGAATGGATAGAGCTAAGAATGAACCTACAAGCAGTTTTCCTGTAGGAGAAAGGATACTTATCAATTTATATTAAGTCAGCAACAAATAGGAAGCTGGTATAATCGAGCCAAGAATCTGTAAAGCTATTAATACCTTGGTTCAGGGAAATGGTGTCACACTCAAAAAGACATGTAAATCAAATGCACAAAGATAAACAGACAAAAATTATACAAGATGAACTTCCATTCGAGATATTGATAGACAGTTTTGGAAAGACCGAGAGAATAGGAGTATTAAGAGAGAATCCAACTGTGACTGAAAACGGGTCGTAAACGAAACACAGTGCTAAGGTTACAGGTGGACCTCATGATAAAATCATGATACAAAAATTGGATGATAACGTAACACCATTCATTGACGATTGGATGATTTTATGTGCTGTTTTCACCCCATACAAAAAACTAAAAATAAATGATTTCTGTGTATAATTTCGACACTTACCAGAGTAAAGATTTCTTCTGTCTCTTCTGACTTTTGTTTTGCGACCTGGAGTCATACCTACTTGTCCTAGGGCCAAAGGTTGTATTGTGTATTAGTTATTCTAGTTTGCAGACATAATATTTACCATTACAGTTTGTCATCCCTCGAGCTAGCACATGATGAGTAAGTAGATAAAGACAAGAAAATCAATTATCTGATTTAGTAAGCAGCAGTAGGTAAATAAAACATGTGACAACAAATTTTAGGATGCATTAATTGATAAATTGTTTAAAAATTCTCAAAGATAAACCGTTTGATTGATTAATGTCTTTTTTTTACAATTTTAAAACCATATCTTCAATTATCGATAGATGGATTGTCTCGTGGACTATATCCAGTATATTTATATATCTCTGTATATTTCTAAATCATTAATCATAGCTACAGACAACAACACTATGTGTTACTGTGTTTATCTTGAAGCTTTTTCAGAGTATTCCAACTCTACCTCATGTATTCATTCACTGATCTAGAGTAATGCCGAAAATCGTATGTTCTTGGCGTTTCATCATCAACAACGTAGAACTTCGTACGTACGTACGTACGCAAATCAGTTCAAGTTGCCATACCACACATTAGCACAGAGACGCAATTTGCAATTCAAATTCCATAGTAGTAGATGTAGTAAAAGTGTTAACACTAATCGGAGAGATTAGGGTTCGAGGAAATTATTCAACTAAGTATAATCTAGTGAAATAAACTTGAAAAGAAAGAATATAAAGGTGATGAAGAACTCTAAAGATTAGGATTTGACACAACACAATGTATGAATTCACCTGCGCCATTGCGAATGGTTTTGAACCATGTCATTCATGATCTCTAACCATCGATTACTATCATCTCGCGGGTCCCAAAAATTCACATAAGTCAACTTTTTCTGGAATAATAAAATAGAGTTGTTTATAATTACAACTTATTGTTTGGAAACTGATTCATTCAAACATTAAGTTCATTTTCCTACTGTGTTCATTATTAGGTTGAATTATAAATCACTTCATCTATTGTGTTTTGCTTGTCATTCTATTTATATCTTATTTTTTTTTTAAAAAAAATATTTCAACAGGCTATTTGGGAAAGTCAATTCTATTATTTGTTCGGATTTTTATTCGTTGTATTCATTATATTAATCATTTGTTGTGCACAAGTAGCAGTTGTTGCTACATACTTTCAATTATGCAGTGAAGTAAGAAATTTTTTTAGAAAAAATTCTCTGTTGTGTTGATAGCGTAGAAAAAAGTATCAGGTTTGTATGAGATTGTGTAGTCTTTTTAGGAGCAGGTAGGTGTGTATGTATCTAGTTCTATTTTGGAATTTATTTGCCTAGGTTGTCTGTGCTGGACCATTGACTTCTCTTTGATCAGTAACTCATTGGCAATGAAGTAACGGGTGTGAGATCAATACGGAGAAATTATTGTTTCAGGATACTTTTCTCAAATTGCTTTCCCTATAAGTAGAATAAAATAGAAACAGCACACACACACAGTTCAATTCATAAATCAAACTAGTATGATAATATACAATTATTTTTAGACCATAAACGAGAAATTATAGTATGATCATAACAGCACACAACAATAGTTTGTGCCTCAACTGAAAGCTTATAAATAGGATAATGTAAGAATACTATATATAATCCTTTGTAAGTTAATAATACCCAAAAGTATACTTTCACAATATTTAAGTACATTATTATAGCACATGTCGAGATAGACAATTGTTACTGTATGATGTTCTCAAATAAGCATTGACTAAAACACTTATCTTGCAAAACTATACTATTCTATTCTTAATGACATTCATTACCTCCTCTGATTTCAATTGTTTCATTGTGATTTATGTAAAAGTAAACCCAAACTCTGATTATATTGTCCGGAATAAAAACACTAAAAACACATTCATATAAAGTTTAGTATCTTCTATACACCTGTTTCAAAGATCGATCTCTGAAGTTAAAAAGATTTACTACTGTAATTTTGATTTTATCATAGTGTCAAGGGGGAATGCAAAACGTTCTATATGAATTTTCTGTAGTTGTATTCTTTTTTTCTTTAGTGAAGTAGTTTGTATTCCTTTTTAATGCTTAATTTCTCAACTACGTTAGACATTTTTGGCATTCATATACATATATATATGTCAATAATTATAGATTTTCTTTGTATTCACTATTGTTACAATTTTTCGTTCTTTTCAAAAGTAAAGTCAACCAACTGTAAATAGGTCACTCAATTCTGTTAGGTGTATCTTTTACTTTACCTATTAAGATTTAGACGGTATATTTTATACACTGGTATTTTACTTCCATGACCATTGGAGTTACAAGTCTGAAAAATAAATTGTCTTAACAACAACTAATTAATTAGTTTTAAAAGAATTGTATATCAATAATATTTAGAAAGTATTGTATTAGAGTTGATGGATTTATTTCCTATATTGTAAATTACATAACAACCATTTGTTACTCTCTGATTTTCTGAGAGATTACTCCGACAATTTTAGTGCATGATATAATCATGTATTTATATTGATTGATCCTTGAGTATCAATATCCTCAGTAGTGATCGAATTCCATCGATGAAATTGCAATGCGACAACTATTCTAAGTGATTTAACCTCCTCGCCTGTATTATGTTTTGATGTAAGGAAGTTGGCAATTATCCATCTTATCATATCTTTATCTTGTACAACATCTGTTAAAGAGAAAACAAGTTACGAATATGAACTTGCTAAACGCGTCAATATTTTAATGACTGTGTTGGATTATAGTAAGTTAACTTCCAGACGATGTCAAAGTCAACATTTAGGTTTCAGTGTCTTAAATATAAATGTACTTTGAATTGTAGTTTAAAAAAATTTTTCATCTAGGATTATCATTGGTGGTGGCGCACTTTCATCACATCTGGTGGAGCTGCAGTTTATCTTTTGGGATATTCATTCTTCTACTTTTGGACAAAGGTATGTGTCTGCAGCTCTATTGAATGATTAAATATTCTTGTTCTAACGTTTCGAATTTACATTGCTCTTTATATCTAGGGGCGGTCAAACCAAAACATGGCACAAATCCATGAAGTCACTGACAAGTGGACTGTTTCATGTTGGTAGATGTAGGCTACTTGGTTGGGGTCCGCAAGACAATAGTCACCGATGGTTAGAAACCTTGAACGATACGGCTGAGAATCGTTTGCAATGGTGCAGATGCATCTACCCTTTGTGTTCTATGAAATTCTAAGCTTCTGCATTCCTCATAATCTCTACCTTTCTCCTTCTAAATTTATCTCACTGAATTGTACTTCTCGAATCATATCTTCGCTCCCTAATCTTCTCCATTACTGCTAATACTTCTATTATCGTCGTCACTCTTGGATTTGAACTGACAGTTACGTCTCTGTGCTGATGTGGTATGGTCACCTGAACTGATGTACTTATGTACGAAGTTCTGCGTTGTATCTGTCTGTCCCTGTCTGCAACTCTTTATTATTATTATTATTAATATTTTATAAGTAATAACCTCCATAATTTGATCATAATTTTTTTTTTAAATTTCTTCTTTTTTCACAGCTTAACATAACTGAATTCGTTCCTACAATTATATACTTTGGTTATAGTACATTAATGGTGATCGCATTCTGGATTCTGACCGGAACGATCGGTTTCATTTCTACATTTATATTTCTGCGATATATCTATTCTGTCATCAAAATAGATTAAATTTAAAAAAAAATATATATATATATATACATAGTGTGAACAAAGATTTATAACGCTATTTAGTGTATTGAATAATTAATGAAATATCATCATCATCATCATCATCATCATTTCTACATTTTCTTTATATCTTATTCTTATTTATTTACAACACAATTTGTCAATTTGTGAATTTTTCTCGCTTTCTTAACATTGACTGTGAATTGTCTAAAATTGAATGGATTATGTTTTGTTTATGTGAAATATTTTCAATGATTCTTTGTTTAAATGTGTGTGTATTTCAAATCAATAATATTATGTGTTGTATATTGATGAAATTACTTACGCCTATTGACTCCAATAGAGCATAGACTGTCAACCAGTATTCTCCAATCAACTCTGTTCTATGCTATCTTTTCAACTTCTTCCCAATATCTACTCATTATTTTCTTATCTGTCTCCAATTCTCGACACATTGTGTTACTTGACCTACCTACTTTTCCTTGGGTTTGGAAGGTTCCATCCAGGTTAGTGCTTTCTCGTGATGTTGAGTGATTTTCCGCACCTCCAGCGCTTTTTCATAATTCCCTCTTCTGTCAGATTGTGCTTTGTCCTCTCTCACAATAAGTTGTCACTGACGGTATCTTGTGTAGACAGTTATTTATGAATACTTATATCGTTTGGATGACGATAAGGTCATTCAAACACTTCTGTATCATTTTATCTTACATCTTTGTCGACCTCGTTAAGATCTTACAGAGCACAGACTACGATAAAACTAAGTGAAAATAATCTTAACCCATTTTTAACTTCCATACTACTCACTCAGTCACTTATAACGTAGAACTTCGTACGTACGTACATTTTTTCAGGTTTCCATACCACGTTAGCAACGAGACTCAAGTTTCCGTTCAAGTCCCATAGTAGATGAGGTAGTATAAGTATTAGCGGTAATGGAGAAGGTGACGGTTCGAAGTATATTATTCAAAAAGTAAAATTCAGTGAAATAAATTTGAAAAAAAGAAGATAGATATGATGAGGAATTCAGAAGATTGGAGTTTGTAAGAACACAAAGAGTGGATGCACCGGCGCAATTGCAAACAGTTTTGAGCCTTGTCATTCAAGGTCTCTAACCATCAATCACTATTGTCTTGCGGACCCTAACCAGGTAGTTTAACCCTACCAATATGATTTGTTCCACTTGTCGGTAACTTAATGGATTTGTGGCAGTCAGGAGGACAACTACTGTCGGACGCCGATGTGTGTGTCTGTGTTCCAGGACCTATCGCAGTGTAAGAATGTGGTCTATACAGCCACGTTCAGGTCTAAAACTAGCTTGGTTTTCTCGAGTTTGCTCTTCGTAAGGTCTAGTTAGGCGTCTAAGTATTATCGAGGCTAAAAATTTAGTTAGGCTGATTCGTCTATGATGGTCCGTTGCTCTTTCTTATTGACTAGGAAAATCATTGATTGAGACCAGTTTGATGGGATTATGCCCAGATCTCAGTCAATCTGCCATCCCTGAAAATCTCATGAGTTAACCTATCAGGATTTGCAGCTCTCCCTTGCTTTAGATTTCTTAAAGCTTTCTCAACTTCATAAAGAGTCGAACGACTTACGTCGATTTGCCGTTCAGGTTGACTGGAGATCGTGGGCAACCTCAGTGTGGCTGAAGGACAGTTGAACTGATCCCTAATGTGCACTGTCTGGACATTTGTCTACTGTTACTTATCGCCGCTGCCCCTAACCTTATGGTGTACCTTACCAGCAGATAGCACTTCTGTTTCTACAGCTTTTTTGATATCGTTCCAAGCTGTCTCGGGGTCTGCATCACCTACATGGCCACCTAAAGTTTTCTAGTTGCTCCTAAAATATATTCTTAGCTGTGCTATCACACTAGAGCATGATATGAATCTAGAAATGTGCCCCAGATTGAGAGGCAGTCTTCAATGGAGCCACTCAACCGATAGGTTATATCGAAGTTATCTATTTGGGTCCATCGTTGAGACGACTTTGTGGGGAAGGCATGTCGATAGATGTTTTTCTTATGCTCCAAGTTAGTGTTTGCTAGGAATAGGCGTTTATTTCAGCATATCTGCAGCAAACAGTCGCCATTATCTCTCCTATTAGCCGCGACATCATAAGATCCACCCAGGTGTCTTTCCTTTTCGCAAAGTCTACTTAATTGAGCATTGAAATCACCAGTCATTATTACTATATCAGATCGCATAACTTTTTGAAGGAGGTTGGAAAGCTTTCGGTAGAACTCGTCTGAACTACAGTCAGTGTGGGCTCAGGCAGATACAATGAAGAGGCAATGGCGAGAGTCCCTATCTTTCCGAGTCCTTACTGTCTCGTTCAGTCGGAAAACGTACAAGCGACTATCTACTGGAATCCAGTCTAGGAGCACTAGTTCTGCCCTACGACTCAATGCTATACGTACACCAGCGAGACCCCGGGAACCATTATCAAGGTTACCAGGAACACGAAGCGTAAAAAGAGTTGGTTCTTATTCTAAACAAGGTGATACTGCACATTTCGGAGACGCGGACAGATTGATAGCACGAGATACTAAAGTCCTAGGCAGCCCATATCCCGAATTACCCATCATGACATTTCTTCCCGCTTCTTAGATATATGCATTTGTTCTTCGTAGCTGCAATGTTGTGACAGAAGCTATCAGAAATCCAACATCATCTGGAATGTTTGAATTTTTTCATAAATGGACTTGTATGACAGTACTCTGATTTCAATTTTCGGTGGTACGATGCTGAGTACTTGTTTCTTTCCACTCTGAACAGTGTACACAGTTGACGATGTCGGAACATCAGAACTCGCTTGGTAAATGTCTTTGTTTCGGATTTATTTCATGAGTTGATCAGTTGACCTTGATATCACATTTTCCACCAGGAGAATCCTTGGATGTGATTGGTTACTGTGTTATTTTAGTGGGCTATTTTGTGACTCTCCCTAGGACATCTCTATGGTGTATAATTAAACGCGATTTGTGTGCTGGTTGGGTGGTTGTAGAATACACTTCGTAAGCTATATCAAGACTTCTTGCTGGTACAATTGGGACAATTTGATCAGAGTAGCTTACCTGAACTCTGGTTCATTGTTTTGTTCTCGTTATTCGACTGAGGTTAACACGTAATAGTTTTAAGCATACCTAGAGACGAGTATAACATACACTTATTTAAAACGATTTATTTACATAGTTTTTAGATCCGCTATTTTTTTCTGTAACAATCAATTACTTTATATGGTCGTGAAAAACTTACTACTGCTGTCTACAGATTTTCTTCTGCGAAATGCCTTTGTATATATTACAAGCTATCTCCAAGGCCAGCAACATGTCTCTGGGTCCTAGCCTAATTGTGTATCGGACTGAGCGATTTCCCCTTCAGGTGGCTGTGTTAGACAATGTATAGGGCCAAGGTTAGTCAGTTACCCACCATGAACTTGCTGATACAAAAGTGTCTTTACTCTAAGCTTCTCTGATGTCTTCTTACAATACATTGGTGTAGTAAGTTACAAACGGTTTTCTTTCAACCATAGATTAATCTAATGCGGGTAATAATGAAGTAGCAGGTCACAGTATTTGTGTTCAAATGAAGTAGACTTTGCCATTTGCGCTGTCGGCCTCCGTATACATTAACTTTCACAAGGATAAATGCGTACTATTCTGAGAGGTTCTGCATTATATTTTACTGGCAAGGTTACCTGAAAAAATGAGTGATAACTGAAAAATTTGAACCTAATATTGTACTTGGAATTTGTTATAGCGGAAAGAATATTGGAGAAGCCATAACTCCCAAAAACTAATTTGTGAATTATCATCATGTAGTGAAACTGAGGGCGTATATTCTGAAGATGTTATACCGTTAATATGATATTAGTATAAGACTAGCAGCTTATCTGACATTTAGTTACCACTATGGTGAATACTACTCGCAACATAAGTTCTGAGTAGTACGGTAGTAGTATTAGTACACGTAACTACGGTGTGGTCTATGCTACCCGCAGTGTGACTTATTAGTGGTATGCAGCGGAGGAGTATTGGGTCTGAATGTTCAAAGTTTTTTGAAGACTGGAAGACAGCCAAGAATCTGTAAATCTGAAGATATGGTATACACGCGTTGTTAGTGAACTGTATTCTTTCTAAGTACTCCTTTTTTCATCACACTACATTTATATGAAGTAATGCTTTATATAAATTTACTGTATTCAGAATAAAGTATGGCTATTTCTATCGATATTTCCTCTTGTGTGCCTGATCAGGTCGTTGACAAAAGAACAAACTAACCCAAAGTGACTGGATTTTTAAAACAGTATAGGTGAATCTTAACTCCGCCAGTAGAACCTTCGGGTCTACTGCCGGTCCCAAGCCCGGGTAAAGGAGGAGGGTTGGACATGGAGTTGGCTACCCATTCCCAAAATTGACCATATCTGTATCAATAAAATGTTCAGAAGGACCATGGAGGATGTGAAAACCAAGAGAGGAGCTGATATAGACTCAGATCACCACTTGCTGGTCGCTAAAATGAAACTGAAACTGAAGAGGCACTGAACAACGGGGCAGACAACATCACAGAAGTTTAATACAGCCTTTCTTCGGGATACCGTAAAACTCAACGAATTCAGGATAGCCTTCACCAATAGGTTTGAGGCCTTGCAGGATATACTCAATGGAGAGGAAGCAACATTGGAGAACAATTGGAAAGGGATCAAAGAGGCAATCTCTTCAACATGTCACGAAGTTCTGGGTCACAAGAAGTACGATCACAAGGATTGGATGTCTGTTGGTACTCTTGCAAAAATTGAAGAAAGGAGGAACAAGAAGGCAGCAATCAATGTCAGCCGAACAAGAGCGGAGAAAGTTAAGGCACAAGCTGCATACACAGAAGCAAATAGGGAAATGAAGAAGAGCA